TTGCTATTAGGGTTTATAATTTATCTTTTGAAATTTGCGATGCGTGTGATCACTGATTATTGTATTTTACCTTTTGCTTAATTTTTAATTTTAAAGTTTATTTTTTGATTGTAATATTGCACTAAAGATGGTTTTAAAATAAATCAAAACTACATATGTTGGGGAAAATGGAAAGTTATATGGACAAGAAAAGGTTAGAGGTGAATGTGGATAAGACAAAGGTAATGAGGTTTAAAAAGGGAGGAGGAAGAATGAAGAGAGTGGAGTGGAGATGGAAAGGAAAAAGGTTAGAGGAAGTGAAAGAATTCACATATTTAGGGTATAAGCTACAGAGGAACGGGGGGCAGGAGGCGCAGGTAAAGAACAGAGTTAGGAAAGCAGGAGCGGTGATAAGACAGGTGTGGGGAATGGGAAAGAGAAGGTTTGCAGGAGACTGGATGAAAAGAGTATGGCTAATGGAAAGGTTGGTGGGGACGGTGTTGGAATATGGGGCGGAAATATGGGGATGGAAGGAGAGGAGAGAGGTGGAGGCAATGCAGGAGCGATGGATTAGGTGGACGTTAGGAGTAGACTGGTGCACGCCGGGGTATATGGTAAGAGAGGAGATAGGAAAAGACAAATTTAGGATAAGGGCAGGAAGGAGGGCGGTAGGGTATGAGAGGAAGTTGGAGGAAGGAAGGGGAGGAAGTTTAGCGAGGAAATGTTTTGAGGATATGAAAGAGAGGATAAGAGAGGAAAGGAAAGAACGATGTGGGAGGAAGAGAGGGGGAAATTCTGGGAAGAAAGAGGAATAGAAGGGAAAGAGATGGAGGAAAAAAGGGGAAGAGGAGAGGAAGTATATGAGGGGTGGGAACAGAAAGACAGGGAAAGGCAAAAGGAGGAAAGATGGGAGAGGATAAGAGAGTCGAGATATAATAGATGGTATGGGGAATGGAAGGAGGAGGTTTTACCGGAATACCTGAGAAAGGGATGGGGGGAAAGTAGATGGAGAAGGATAGTTAGGTTCAGAATGAACAATGAGATGAGAGGGGCGAGATACTGGGAAGAAGAGGAGAAAAGAAGATGTAGGTTATGCGGGATAGAAGATGAAACATGGGAGCATGTGATAGGAGAATGTGGGGGAGAAGGGGAGAAGGGAAACTGGTGGGAAAGAATGAAGGGAATATTGCAGGAAGGAGGAGAAGGGGAAGGATGGATGAGAGAAATAGAGAAAAAGAGGGAAGAGGGGAGAACGGAAGAAAAGGGGGAGGGAGGGGAAAAGGAGGAGGGAAGTATGAGGAGGAGAATGAGTGAGGTATGAATGAGGTGGTGGAGAATATATGGGGAATCGGAAGCCGAAGCGAAGCGATAAGTAGGGACGGCTCTTTCTCTCTCTAAAGTAGTAGATAAGTAGGTTAAAGTAGAATTAAGTTATTTGTAAATTAGATGTAAGAGTAGAGATAAGAGTAGATATAAGTATAATTGTAAGAGTTTTGTAAGGTTGGGGAACGCTCCTTCAAAAGCGCCTTCAATCCCTTATAGGGGACGAATAAAGAATTGAAATTGAATTAAATTGAAATAAATCAAAACGTATTTTTTGGGGGTAATTGTATTCATTGAAATTTTTGTTTATTAGCACGAACACCCTGCTACGGCTCGTCTGCTCGTTCTTGTTATTTTAATTTTTTAAATAAAATTTGATCTCAATTTTTTATATTATATCTCTTGATCTAAAATCTGAGAATCACTGAAATCGATTTAAAGCTTTCACAACAGCTAAATTTTTATATACGTTGGATAAAAATTGTGTATCCTTTTCTCACAATCCAATTAACAATTATTCTTGTCAAAATTCAAAACATTTTCAATATCGAACAACGATATCATCGTCAACGATCGCTCGCTGTTAAAGCAATTTTCATTTCCTTTTATCTTGAATCTTGTCATCTTATGAATCTATAAACTCTATCCATCCAATCTTTCGTCAATTGTTTATTCCAGCTTTCGTTTTTTTTTATGTATTTAACGGTGTTTTCAATATTATTATTAACATAATTATTATTATCATTATTATCGTTAGCAATAATTGGTTTTTGGACGTGGATCTGTGGATGGATTATAATTTATATGAAAAATTCCATAATTGTTTTTCCTTTTTTTACCTCAAACGAGCGAGTGTTTTTCGAATTTTTTGATTTATCCAACAACTGATAAATGACGGAAATGAAATAAATCGTTTATTTTGACCATCTTGCTATAGAATATCAAAAACATTTAACGTTTGAATATAATATAATTTAATTTAATTTAAAATGTCTTATAAAACTTCGAATAGATATGAAAAAAATTTCAATCTCTTCTCAGTTTTTAAATATTAAAAATATTTTTTGCTACTTAAAAGATCGCAGATATTTAATGCTGATTTTAACAAGAATATTTTCAATATTTATTCCAATAAGTCCGAAAGATTGGTGAACTCTCGCCCGTCATTGATCTCTCTTCGAGCGTTTTTTTAGATATTTTTTTCATCATCATCGTCGTCGTCGTCGTCATTATTCTTTTCTTCAAAGAAGAACGTACGAAAGAATATATACACATTTGCATAAGAAAACAGACGGAATATACAGCATGCAAGTGGTTAGATAGCGTCCACCTTTTTTTATTCTTTCCTTCTTGTTCTTTTATTCTTGTGATGCGCGACTTTTTTCATCGGCATTTTCATCTTCGAAATTTTGATAATCGAATATAACGCTGATGAGGTCATTTCTCGAAAACGTTATCATTATCATCATTATATCGTCGTCACACACGCAGCAATATTTTATGTTAAAACTTAATTGCGAAGATATTCAACGCACTATATATACTATTTGTGAAAAAACGCTACACCTCACTACAGTGATTTATTTTTTGCTTCATAAATGATGATGATTAAATCATTCGAGACCGTCCTCTCGACCATTTAAATAATTAATCTTATACATATAAGATATGTTAATACTGTTAAAATCAAATTGTTATAAGCGGCATGGAAAATGTGCTTAAAGCTATATATTTCAAAAGTGATTAAGAGAAATCATTTATTTTATAACATTTTTTAGCTAGAAATCCTCAACAATAATAATGAACGAATAAACTTGTCTACAAAATCACACGTGAAATGGTCGAGATTTCATTTGGGAAAATGGAGCAAGTATTTTTTTCATAGCAATAACATGTAAAAAAAGAGAGATCTTCTCTCTATTCGAAAAGAAATTTATTTCGCGTTTTGCAGCTCAAGAATTCCACAGATTTCTTCGATTATTAAATTATGTGTAATTCTTATCTTAGACAAAAAATCTTCTACATAAAAAGATTTTAAAAAAATAAAAGAAAATTTGAAAACAGAAAAAATAAAAAAATTATACACATACAAATACACTACAATTTAAATAAATATTTCAAATATATTACATTTATATAAATATGTAAAACTCAATTAATTCGATTGTAACTACTTCGTCGTGAAATGTTATAAGATATAACAATCTTCTCGAAATAATAAAAGTAAAAATACATAATATTATTTAACTGAATAATATTATTTAATAATTGATATATTGTCGATCTGAAGAATTCTCAATAATGCAATACTGCACTTTATTTATAATCCGCGAGTGCTCTATCTCATAATTGTATACATAGTGTGTATACGTGTTAATATATAATTATAATATATATTCCGTATATAGACTTATATAAAACGCACGAGAAGCGATTATTCAAAGGCTACTTATTCTTTTCGATTTTATTTATTTATAGCAACAAGCTGTTTTTTTTATCTATCGATACTCGGTACTCGGCTTCGAGTTTTATAAATGGAAAAAGAATTCGGATTTTTAACTATATGGATCTCGTATGTACGGGATCACTTTAATATCCTATATAACGTTAATGTTTTCGCGTAAATGTGTATGTATTTGTCTTAAATACTTGTTCACGTGTCAATAAATGCACGTATTATGTATGTGCGTATGTGTATTTGCACCCGCATATATATATATATATATATATATATATATATATATATATATGTTTTGTGTGTATGTGTATGGATATAAGAAAAATATTTAAAAATTTTCCATTCTTTGGACTAATTTTGCATAAAAAAAAGAAAATGCTATATATTTTATTATTCCATATTTATACTAGTATAAATAAAAACAATATATTTTAATAGGCACACTTTGTAATATGATATTTTTCTGCTTTTTTTACATAGAAAATATTCCAAACAAGATGAACAAATAAATTTATTAGTTATTATATGCATCCTGACGTGTATTTTATATTTGCAATCTATGAAATCTTGCAACGTCCAAAGTAGCAAACTAACGTCATTAAACATTAAAATGACGTATGCTTGCTATCTGGGGTAAGCGCTGATGAATCAAAAGATATATGTATATATCTTTTTGCGTGTGTTTATATTTGTATGCATGTGTGAATGTGTGTATGTGTGTTATAATAAATTAATTATATTTTCTCAAGTCATTTCTTGAGTTCGAGACCGACGCATAACCTGCACGCACCGTCATCGTTATAAGTTTCTGATGTTAATCCTTCATCCTGATCCGGATTCATTCGGATTCTTCATTCTCTATCTGCAATTACCTCATTTTTTTATAACTAATGATGATGATCTATATGCGGATCTCCACGATACTGCGTCCTACTATCTATTTTCTGATTGCAAAGAAAAAGCAAAAAAACTTTCTTATCAATGATCGATAAAATTTGATGTTCTGATAATTGAATAAAGTTCTTTATTTTTTCAAGTTTCTCTTCGTGAAAGTTTTAGGATCTAATTTTGCTTTAACCAACCCAAGTAGGAAACTATAACGTCATTAAATGTCAAAATAATGTCATTTTGACGTTTAACCCTTGTAGAAATTTATCACTAGTAACACCAATTAATCACTTATTTCGAGTACTTAAAATACTGATATACAGTAATTTAAGTACTCGAAATAAGTGATTAAGTACTCAAAATAAGAGATAAATTGGCGTTACGAGTGATAAATTTTTATAAGGGAATGACTTCAGTTTGCTATTTGGAGAGGAATATGCCGTATCATCTTGATTATTTCATCTAGTATTTGTATTTTAGTTGTTCTCGCAATAAATAAATCAAATTGTAAGCGTAAATCAAAATTATCGATCATAACCTTTCAGGAATCTTTAAGTATTGTTGATTAGACTTTATAGTTGTGTTCCTTATCTTTTTATCTTTAATGATTATATTTTTATTGATGATCGCACTCTTTGAGTTATTTTATTTATAATATTAATTTATATTCGGTATAGGCGCATGACTCTTCAGCAACTCTCGAATGTCAGAATGTTGGTATTAGGCTAATGAAGAAATTTAGAGATTTCGGTCGTGAAGATCTTGAATCATCATCGATTATCAATAAGAAAAGCTCTTACGGGGACATCATCTCGGCCCATTTCTTCACCTCTTTGCTGCAGCTATGAAAGTACGTGGACAGACTGATTGCTAGAGAGGTGAAGTGATCTTGTCCCTTTCCCGGGAGGGCCATCGCTCGTCTTTCCGCGACGAAAAATGTGGAATTCTCGTTGAACTATTTTTTCTCTTATCTTTCTGTCCTGTAATTTCGAAGGATGCGACGGACTCTAATTCTCCGTGCCGTTGTTACCTTTTCCCCAGAACTTGTCAAAGCGATTGCGTGCTTTCTCAAGAACGTCACTTGCCGCCGAGCGTTGTGTCGAATCTGGCCCTACTGCTGGTGCCTCTAAAACATGGTAGCCGCTCATGGTGCTACTTCCGGTGCTCGTGGTACCGCCAGTATCTTGGGGCGACGACTCAGCCTCAAGAATACGGTAACTCTGTTGTGGTGCATGCGACGTAGATGACGATGTCGTCACCAACATCTTCGTAATTGTTGTCGGTACGTTGTCCTTTTTCTTCTCCATTTCGGAAGCTGGATCTTCCAGACATCTTGTACCTGCTGCGGGTTTCACCAGTGATTCTGGACTCTGTCGCTCTTTCGTCTCCTCCACAATATCGGTGATCTAGAATTAAATATAAAAGAAAACGATTTTTTAAAGGTGATCCCAAAATCGTTGTGTTTTATCGATAAAACGATTATTTTTGTGCGCGCTTTTCTTTTTATTGATTGAATAGAATAATAAATGCTTTTCCACGATTAAAGTACATATAGAAACAAAGCCGGGACCTATTGACCTATTCATGCTCAGCTAACCATTTCTGCGAAGGCAAATGTAGGTAACAACTTTTGTTTGTTAAATGGCCGCAAATGAGAAACATATTTTGTCATCATAAATTCAGTAAATATTTCCCAACATCAGGAATTTTTTCCTGACTTTTCGAAACGAGTGCTTATTAATTTTGTAAATATTAATTTTTTTAAGTCAAAATAGTGAGTAAACAATTAAAAAATGTAATTATTGAAAAAAAATTCGAAAAATGGCTTTAAAAAATCGAAAATATTTAAATATCCTTTTTGCCAAAAGCTTAAAATTTATGTTTGAAATCTAAAATGTTATACATTTTTATAAAAAACCGAAAAGGTCTCATTAAGAAAAAAAAATAATTTCGGTTAAAATTGACTAAAATATCATCAAATTTTTTTCAATACAAAAGGCTTCCGGATGGATGCCGCGTGATTGAACAGCATAATGCCGACGTTTCGCAAACGTTGCAGTTTGCATCTCCAGGGCTGAGATTTCCGATACTGAGCCTTTTTGAGTTGTGGTCCTTATGTATATTGTGGAAGGTTTTTCATCTACGGGAAAGTATTCCATTATGAGGCCCTCTGGTGTGAGTGTATATTAAGGGCAATGTGCCAAATAAGGTTTGATAACCTTTGTCGCGGTTGAGGTTATCGGGATGCTTCAGAATTTCTAAGGCTTCACGATGTTTCCTGGCGAAATAGCTTTGCGAGAAGGCTAGTTTGGTTGCTTTGTCGTGTTGTACCGGGTGTCCCGTCTCCATCCAATGTTCTGCCAAGACTGATTGATTAAAATGACCTTGGCACTCCGTTGGTATTCCTTAATTCGTGTACTGATCTTTCTCCCAGTTTCTGTACGCAGTTATGTTACTTTTCCGCAGGAACAAAGAATCCTGTATACACCTCGTGTTTCTAAGTGTGGTCTCTGGTCCTTAGGATTAGGAAGTAGTTGCGCAATCTTTTTTTAAGATTTGGAAATTACTTTGATGTTGTGTTTACCCAGGATCCTACTAATGCGTTCTGTTGTATCCTGAAGGTATGGAAGAATTGTCCATTTTTTATCTTCTTTTTCTTCTTCTTTTTCACTCGATGTACTCATATTTGTAGAACTGGAAATTTTGTTTTTCAGCCTTTCAGTTGTTTGATTGATGTCTTTGCTGTTATACCCATTCTTGGTCAAGACTCGGTTGAGATATTCTAATTCTTCATTCAGGGAAGTTGGTTCAGAAATTATTAAGGCTCTGTATATTAATCACATCTTGGGATCACAATCCAAGAAGGCTCAGTATCGGAGCTCTCAGCCCTGAAGATGCAAACTGCAACGTTTGCGAAACGTCGGCATTATGCTGTTCAAGCACGCGGCATCCATCCGGAAGCCTTTTGCATTGATAATTCCAATGGTCGCAAAAGTCTCAAAACTAGAATTAAATTTTCTTTTTTAATTATTTCAATATTTTGTTTGAAAAATACATTCAAAGACAAAAAAAATGATCACCTTATTCATGACAATATATTTATTTTTCTTTATGTTATAAATATTTGAAATTTTTTAAATTCAAAAAATTCATGTTTTTAAAAATATATAACTCGGAAATTAATAAAGATAAAAATCTAAAAAAATTCATGGAAGCTGCTTTCAATAGATACAAAAAGATAAAAAAAATGAAGTAAATAAGAAATGGTCGGGGAAAAAAGTCGTTCATTTGGTACGGAATGCCCCATATATGTATAGGTATATGATGTGGATATATAATATAATATGGATATCTCGAGAGCCGTCAACATCGTTCTTAATAATTCAAATTTGATGAAAGTCGCCAATAGATAAAATTTAAAATTAAAAAAAACTTTCTTTGATTGTTCTTAATATTTATTTACACGCCTCAATCTAACTTATGGCGTTATTTATAAATAGTTATAAGGCAGAGAGAAGTATTGGATTGAAAGGGTCTGAATAGCTTAGTGATAAGAGTAGTGGCCCGGTAAACGAAAGGTCTCGGGTTCGTTTCCCGATTCAGCGACTTTCAGACTAATATTTTTCTCGTCAATTTTTCTACAGGAGATTAAGGGGGAAGGAAATTGATGATCTCAAACCAAGAGACATAGTTTCCAATTAAATCTTGACAATTTGTCAAGTTTAAAAATCCGCGAAAAAAAATTAATTTTCGCGCGCGTTAGCTCTTAGGCCGATTTAACTATATATATATATATATATATATATATATATATATATATATATAATATATAGTTGAAAGCATATCCTAACAGCAGATCAGTCACTAACAGTGCGACGACAGATTGACGCAACAATCTGAGAACAGATTCGTCAATCGCAAACTGAAAACAGATTCGTCAATTGCAAACTGAAAACAGATTTGCGCCAAACGTTCACCAATTTGAAGAAAAATAATTAAGTAAAAATGAAAAAAGCAAATACAAATAAATCAAACATTAAATAATAATCCGACTTTCGAGTCGAATAAATACGAAATTACCAGAATCTTTATTGCAAAATATACAAATAATACTATCTAAAATAATTATAATAAAAATATAATAAAATTGAAAAACAGTTAAGAAATCAAATAAATAACGAGTAAACGTTTCAACATTAACAAATAAAAAAACATTTAATAATTCATAATATTAAAAAAGAATAAAAATAATTATTTTTATTTTTTATAATTATTTTTATTTCTTTTTCAATTATTATAAATTATTAAATGTTTTTTTATTTTTTTTTATCCTTTTTTACTTAATTATTTTTCCTCGATTTGCTGAGTATTTGGCGCAAATCTGTTTTCAGTTTGTTGCGTCAATCTGTCATCGCACTGTTAGTGATAGATCTGCTCTAGCGTTACACCCAACTTGATGTTAGGATATGCTTTCAACTATATTATATATATATATATATATATATATATATACACACATTATATATATACATATATATATATATATATATATATATATATATATATATATACACACACACATTATATATATACATATTGTTGCATAGTTACATGTCTTTTCAAAATAGGCGCGTAAGCATGACATCGCGTTTAGGACAGGAGAGCAAGTGGTATGGCGGGGTGACAATGTGCGATATATATATACACGCGTATCGGCGGATCCAGTCTCTTCCTCTCCGGCACAGCGTAAGAAACACACACACAGCTGAGTTATACGAAGGATAGGAAATAAACCGATAGTGAATATAGCGAATACGTGGCAGATTAATTATCGAACCCCTTTCCCAAGCGGGGACACAACAGTTGACGACGAGGATGGGATACCGCACAAAAAGTTAAGAGAAGAGTACAAAACCCTGCAAAGAAGAACACGTGCGTGTTACATTGAGTGCCGAGTAAATTTTTTTTTACGGACCACAACTCGGTACTGCGGATTCTGCCATGGCTGAGGCAATCGTGCATGGAAGTTTCGCAATAGAAGCTTTCGATCCTGCCGTTACAAATTGGAAGCGTTGGCTAAAACGTTTTGAGGAAGCCGTTACAGTTTTCAAGGTTCCTGAACCACAGAAAGTGGCGTACCTACTACATTTCATCGGAAGTAAATCTTTCGATATATTATGCGACAAGTTAGCACCTCTCAACCCGTACACGCAGACGTACAACACAGTCGCATCACATTTGCAGGAATTCTACGCCCCTGCACCTGCAAATTCAGGCAGCGGGAGTATCATCCGTGGACTACGTGGGCCAGAAAGAAGCGGCAATGGGGAAGAAGGACAAACGGTCACAACACAAGAAGCCGGCAGTAAACAGACCAGCTGTGTTCCAGAAAGCAAAGCGTGCCATACAGGACGTTCCAAATTATAACAATACAAACGGTATAAATAGCGCTACATGTTATAGATGCGGAGGTAAGCATTTAGCTTCGAAATGCACATTGAATAGAGAAATCGTGTGTTCAAATTGCGGCATTAAAGGTCATTTAGCAAAAGTATGCATGAGAAGGAATAAAGCAAAGGCGCATCAATTAAGCGACATTTTATGGATGAATACGGAACGTATTAAGCATAGAGATAGGTATTTTGTTTCCGTCGATGTAAACGAGAAAAATGTGCGTTTCGAAATAGACAGCGGAGCGGCGGTTACAATTGTTAGTAAATATTTTCTTGAGCGTTGGTTTCCGGATGCACAAATAGAGAACACAGATTTGAAATTATTTACATTTTACAAAACAACAATTACGGTTGTAGGTTACGTAAAACTACACGTACGTTACAAAGGGATTATCAAGTCATTAAATATGTACATTACAGTCATGGATAGAGAACCACTCATGGGACGGGAGTAGATTCGTCAGTTAGGCGTACAATTGACCAATACGGTATTTACGTTAAACTCAAATACAGGAACTGAATTATATAAATTTCTGCGCGGTTACGAAAACGATTTGGATCCTTCAAGTACAAAAATCAAGGGAATACAAGCGCGGCTTATCCTAAAAGAGAACGCGAAACCAATTTTTCTTAAAGCAAGGAAAGTACCATTCAAAATAATACCTTTAGTAGATCGGGAGATCGATAGACTCGTTAAAGAGGGAGTTTTACAAGAAACGAGCGCGGCAGAATGGGCGACGCCGATCGTGCCAGTCTTAAAGAAAGACAATTCGATGAGGCTCTGCGGTGATTTTAGCGTGACAGTAAACAAACAATTACTAGTAAATGAATATCCGTTACCTACAGTAGACGAACTTTTTAGTACCCTATCGGGAGGTCAAAAATTTTCAAAGATAGATCTGAAGCAGGCCTATTTACAAATGAAAATTCATCCCGCGGATAAAGAGTTATTAATCCTCAACACACACCGGGGATTATACAAATGTACACGTCTATTATACGGGATCGCTTCGGCGTCGGCAATCTGGCAGAAAGAAATCGATACTGTACTGAAGGGCATTCCGGGCGTCTCTGTTTTCTTAGACGATATCAAAATTACGGGTCCGAACGACCAAGTGCATCTGGAACGACTTAAGGAAGTACTTACACGTTTAGCGAAATTAAATATACAAATTAATAAGGAGAAAAGCGAATTTTTGAAAGAGGGGATACATTATTGTGGCTATTACATTGATAAAAACGGAATTCATAAAGAAAAAAGAAAAATGGAAGCCATTGAGAAAATGCCTCGCCCGAAAAATATAACGGAATTGCGTGCGTTTTTAGGATTAATTATTTATTACGGACGGTTCATTCAAAACTTAAGTGAAATACTTACGCCATTACATACATTGTTACAAAAGGAAGGCGGCAAAGCTGTGATTTTCAGATGGACACAGGAGTGCGAAGCAGCTTTCTTAGCGGCGAAAAGAGAGTTTACGAGTAATAAAGTTTTGGCGCATTACAATCCCAAACACCCATTAATCGTAGCATGTGATGCAAGCATGTACGGCGTAGGAGCGGTCCTTTCGCAAAAGCACCCAGATGGATCAGAGCGAGTAATCCAATATGCTTCGCAATCTTTGTCTCGAATACAGCAGAAGTATGCACAGATCGATAAGGAAGCGTATGCAATTATTTTCGCGATAAAAAAGTTTTATCAGTTTCTATACGAAAATCGTTTTACACTCTACACAGACCACCGTCTACTTACACAAATATTAGCACCCAACAAATCGTTGCCGGTACATAGCGCGATGCGCATGCAACATTACAAAATTTTCTTACAAGCTTTCAATTACAATATCAAGTATAAAAATACGAAATTACATAGTAATGCAGATGGATTGTCGCGGTTACCAATTCAGTCAGAGGACGATTTCGAATACGACGTAGTACATAAATACGAACTTAAATTAATAGAATCCTTTCCAGTCACATTTACAGAATTAGCAGCGGAAACTGAAAAAGATACAGAATTACAAAAGTTATCGCGTGCGTTACAATCAGGCAAAAAGCTGAAGCCGAAAGAAAGATTCAATGTTCCACTTGCTGAATTTAGTTGCCAACGTGGCGTGATCTTACGAAACGGTAGAGTCTTAGTGCCGCGGAAATTACGAAAGAAAATTTTGCAAGAGTTGCATGAGGAACACTTCGGCATTATTAAAATGAAGGCAATGACTAGAAGATATTGTTGGTGGCCGGGTATCGACAATGATTTAGAGAATGTAGCTAGGAACTGCGAAAATTGTAATTTAATTCGAAACAATCCGCCAAAAACACAAAGACTTACGTGGAAGCCAGCAGAGCGAGCGTTTCAAAGAGTACATATTGATTACGCAGGCCCCTTTATGGGACATTACTTTTTTGTGTCAGTAGACGCGTTTTCAAAGTGGCCAAAGGTGCTCATTACGAAAAATATTACAAGTAATACAACGATCATATCGAATACGTCGTATTCGAAATCGTCCTCTGACTGAATTGGTAACCGCGACAATCCATCTGCATTACTATGTAATTTCGTATTTTTATACTTGATATCGTAATTGAAAGCTTGTAAGAAAATTTTGTAATGTTGCATGCGCATTGCGCTATGTACCGGCAACGATTTGTTGGGTGCTAATATTTGTGTAAGTGGACGGTGCTCATTACGAAAAATATTACAAGTAATACAACGATCAAATGCTGTAGACAAATTTTTTCAACGTTTGGCATACCGGAGGTGGTAGTGTCAGACAACGGTCGACATTTTGTATCTAGTGAATTCAAAAACTTTCTCAAATGTAATGGAGTAATACACAAAACTACAGCACCATTTCATCCAGCGACAAATGGGCAAGCGGAGAGATTCGTCCAAACTTTCAAGCAGATGTTAAGAAAAAAATTCAATAGTCTTTCAGCAAGTACGGAAGACTTACAGATAGCTTTGTACCAAATTCTATTACATTACAGAAATCTGCCTCATGTGTCGTTGGGTGAATCGCCAGCAGAGAAAATGCTAAAGCGTAATTTGCAGACACGGTTAGATTTATTGTTGCCAACACAAATTGATACAAGCAATAATTGCGAGACTAAACCGTACGATAAGAGATTGCGAAGTACATATCGGCGAATGAGTAGAATGTCGGAATTATTACGGCAAACAAAAATGGATTTTCGGTTACGTGCAACAAAGACTCGGTCATGCACATTATATTATTTGTTTAGATAATGATAAATGTTGGAAAAGACACATTAATCAAATTCAAAAAAAGGCGAGTGTCCAATTAGAGATACGTATAACAGGAGCGACAATATGTTCGACTACGAACCCCCAAATGTAAATCAAATACCTGTTATTAATTCGAGAGATGTAAATGTAGACAAGAATGCGAGAATGGTAAGGGAAACCCCAGCGCAAACAAAGGTGGATAATACACCACGGAGATCAGCGCGGGAAAAGAAAGTCCCAACGTGTTATGGGGAATCAAGTTTATAAAAAGAAGAAAAAAAAAGAACAGAGTCATTAACACATATACATGTAGATTTTTTGTTGTTGTTGCTTTTTTTTTCTTAAGAGAGGGAAGAGTGTTACATAGTTACATGTCTTTTCAAAATAGGCGCGTAAGCATGACATCGCGTTTAGGACAGGAGAGCAAGTGGTATGGCGGGGGTGACAATGTGCGATATATATATACACGCGTATCGGCGGATCCGGTCTCTTCCTCTCCGGCACAGCGTAAGAAACACACACACAGCTGAGTTATACGAAGGACAGGAAATAAACCGATAGTGAATATAGCGAATACGTGGCAGATTAATTATCGAACCCCGAATAATATATATACATACCCGAATAATATATATATATACCCAGCAAACACAGTATATAAATGTTATATACTCAAGCATGTTACATGTAACGTATATGTTAGTTGTAATTTCCCACTTATAAATGTAACATTTTTAATATTACATATATTACATTGTAGTTATATTGTCATTATATCCCAAGATAGCACTGACTTATCAATACATCAATGTGCTATTTGGTATATAATTACAATATAACTACAATGTAATATATGTTATATTAAAATGTTACATCTATGAGTGGGAAATTACAACTAATATGGATGTTACATGTAACGTACACGTTATATTACCTGTTATATTCCGTTTTATTATAGCAATGTAACAATTATATATCGGTGTTTGCTGGGTATATATATAGTTAAATCGCCCTAAGAGCCAACGCGCGCGAAAATTAATTCTTTTTTGCGGATTTTTAAACTTGACAAATTGTCAAGATTTAATTGAAAACTATGTCTCTTAGGGTATACTTTCAACTTTTGCTTGTAATTGGAGCACACTCAAGGTCCTAGATTTGCAGCCGCATTGGGCAGAAAATTATTTCCCGATTGTTAACAATTCTCAAGCAAATGGTTAGCTGGATGTTAAAAAAAATTTTAAATGTCCAAAATTTAATTTACATCTTATATGTATGCACAGTTATGCTTCTGACCTTCTCAGTCTTCGTTAATGTATCCTGTATGTTCGTGGGCAATGGACTGTCCCTTTCTGAGTCCAGATCCTTGTGGCCGTTTATGCCGCTAAAACTACCGAGCGAGACACTTTCGCTCTCAGGCGACTTATAACCGGAGTGCTGGGAATGTTGTGATTTGTGTTGTGCTGCGAGCTCCGGTGGTGCCGATTGCGGTGCTGATGGTACGGATGATGGTGCCCACGTCTTTGCCTCGCTATGCGGACGCATGAGGGGTTCTTTAACAGAAATAATTAGATTTACAATCAGAGTAATATATTATACCTCATGTAATAATAATAATAAAAAATAATAACGTTATTTGATCCTTTTGGAGCCACAAAAATGCTTTTTTTGCAAGGAGTGTACCCGAATCTTTTATAATATCTTTTTAAGTGCACATTCTTGGCTATCTGGGTGATCATAACCCTAACAGCACACATATCCCAAAAATGTTCAGAGAACATCCTGAGGATGTTCGAATGTCATCTGGATATCTTCTGAATATCCTCTGAATATCTTTTGAATGTGTTATGCTATTAGGGAAATATTCAGGTACTAATCTTTTTGAATGAATATACAGACTGATAAATCCTTTTCCACAATTAAAGCATTAATATTAACAAACGGAGGAGGGAAGGTTAAAAGAATTGTTAAATCTGCATGCATAACTAATAAAGATTTATGCTCGAATTCAACTTCGCGCTGCTATCGATAAAACAAAGCTTTAAGATCACCTTAATTTCTTTTAATTTGGCCACACACACACACACATAAGTAATTTTACAACTATAATCCCTTTTTTACAAATAATCCTTTTTTCCTCCTTTCTCCCATCTCCTTTTCTTCCTTATTCTCCTCATCCTCCTTTTCTCTCCTTAACCGCTTTCTCCTCCTCCCACAATTCTTTTCTAAAAACCTCTTATAAAGTTAGACATATGCCTCATAAGAGGTTTCTCTTAGAAAAGAATTGTGAAAGGAGGAGAAAGTTAAGAAAAGGAAAGAAAAATGAAGCGGAAGAGAAAAGAGAAATTATAGTTATAAAGTTACTTATGACCAGACTATACCCAGCAAACACAGTATATAAATGTTATATACTTAAATGTTATATACTTAAGCATGTTACATGTAACGTATATGTTAGTTGTAATTTCCCACTCATAGATGTAACATTTTTAATATTACATATATTACATTGTAGTTATATTGTCATTATATCCCAAGATAGCACTGACTTATCAATACATCAATGTGCTATTTGGTATATAATTACAATATAACTACAATGTAATATATGTTATATTAAAATGTTACATCTATGAGTGGGAAATTACAACTAACATGAATGTTACATGTAACGTACACGTTATATTACCTGTTATATTCCGTTTTATTATAGCAATGTAACAATTATATATCGGTGTTTGCTGGGTAAGAAGTTAAAGTGATGATGGTAAAAGATTTGGGAACGCTCTTTGCAAAAAACGCCTTTGTCCCTTAAGAGGATCAAATAAACGCAATTTTTTAATTAAGTTCACGTTATTATGCCACTAAAATGATTCTACCTTCTCGAACGTTTTGTGTAACGGTGAAAGTCTTGCCGGTATCGAGAGGTACAGTCCAGTTTACGGGTTCTGGCGAGCGCATAATCATCTGTTCTGGCGATTTCACTCTTGTTGGTTCTGGCGGACTTTTCACTACTGGCTCGTCGTCCAACCACGGACTTGCTTGCGTAGCGGACATCGTCGTCGTTGCGTGGGTTTGTGATGGTGGCGTCGAGGCGATACTCGAGTCTCCACCGATGACATCCCCATTTACCTGGGGTTCCGCGGTCACTGAAAATGTTTGAAGCAAACTGCTTTATCATCAATATAAGTGATCTCCCAAGTCTCATCGATGGTGCACAATTCAAACTGTCCTTGCACTCGATAGTTAAATTGTCACGACTTGTATATTAGATTTTTCACTTTTTTTTGTAATATTAATTCATAATTTATTTATCTGTCTATCAATATTACATCTAAAATATTATTCTTTATTAATTAATAATTAATAATGAATTAAACAATATTTAGATTTCGATTATCATGTTGCAATTTTGAGTTTGAGATTTACTGTTTAATTTAAAAATTTGTATATCTATCGAAAGTTATAGATTATTTGTTTCCTGTTATATTGTCGCTGCAACAAAGTTATTGGAATACTGGACCAAATTCAACATTCAACATTTAAAATATTTTTCATATGTGAGATACAGAAATTGCAGTAGTGCCATGAAAAATTACGTTTACTTGAAGGTAAGATACTGTCATATTCTCCTTCAAGTGTGAATTGAACAAAATATACAGTTGTAAATATATAGTATGTATACTCTGTTCACACAAACAAGAGAACGTGTAGACGGGCAAAATAGAAAAAGATATTATCAGTTCAATGCTTCGAAGACCTAGTGCCATTCATTGCAGGCACTGATAAGTTAAATAAGCACTGAAGAGGTAGACTATGGACCCGATCGGACGAATTTTCGATCCGACGAATCCGATGCACATTCTCTCGTTGAAGTATACAGGTGGAGTATACAGGATATAATTAAACAAATATATACGAAGCACACCATCAGATGCAGGACAACAAACTTAATCGAAAAGTTCTGAGCCATTTTTTGATCTGAGCTTTTTTTTCGTAATATTAATTCATAATTTATTTATCTGTCTATCAATTACTTATAAAATATTTCTAATTAATAATTAATAATGAATTAAACAATATTTAGATTTCGATTATCATCTTGCAATTTTGAGTTTGAGATTTACTGTTTAATTTAAAAATTTGTATATCTATCGAAAGTCATAGATATTTATGTTTCCTGTTATATTGTCGCTGCAACAAAGTTATTGGAATATTGGACCAAATTTAACATTCAACATTTAAAATATTTTTCATATGTGAGATACAGAAATTGCAGTAATGTTATAAATTGTTAAAGTTTGCCAATCAGCGCATGGCTACGCCGTAGGCACCGCCTACGTTGTTTTCTGTTGTAGCCATGCACTGATTGGCAAACTAACAATTTATAGCATCAAAAGAAAGCTCAGATCAAAAGATGGCTCAGGACTTTTCGATTAAGTGTGTTGTCCTGCATCTGATGGTGTGTTTCGTATATATTTGTTTAGTTACACCCATATGTGTACATATTGTGTGTGTGTGTATTCCGGAAATACATTGGCATATTTAGATACAATATAAAGATACGCAACAATACATACAGATACAAATGCAGACACACAATAAAAAACAGATAGGCACAATGCGAATGTATGTGTGTATATATACACACGATACACATGACATATAAATACATATATATATATATATACCATATATATATATATATATATATATATGTCGTAGCCCGATAGCGAAATTAGCCAATTAGCTAAAAGCCTAGGCGTTTAGCTAAATGCCGCCTGTTAGGCTAATCGAGGACGATATAGTCTAATGGCCTGGAAAATTCAGCCTGTTAGACGAGAAGTCGGCTTTTCGCCTAACGGCCTGGCGCGCTGTAGGCGATTAGAGAAATGCTTGTTTTGGAGCTCGATATGTTGTCAATTTATTGTTTGTAAATATCTCCGTGGGTCTTAAGTAAATCATCACAGAGCTCGTTGTATATTCAATTTTTTTCGTTAGTTGGCAATCAATAACAGCCATGGCAAGTTATATGCCAGTAAACCGCGATGAGTTTAACGAAAAATTAGATAAATTCTATTCAAATCGACCTGGCAGTAATCGAACAGTGTGGAGGCGAGATCAGATGATCAACGTTATGAAAATTCTGCAAGAAATTCAGGTTCCAAGTACTAAAAAGACAGTATCTCATTATCATTACGCGAAGAAGTATGAGCTAGCAAAAATTGGAACGGAATCGTATGTAATTTTAAAACGAAAAACTTCGAATGAGCCAGTTATTTACGTAATAGCGATGGAGGATTACTACGATAAATTGTTAGAAGCTCACATTCAAACAGGCCATGGCGGAAGGGATAAGATGCAGTATTACATTAAAGAAAAGTACAGGATAACGAAGGTGGCTTGTGAAATATTTGTGTCTTGCTGCGGGACATGTAACAGAAAGAGGGTTGCTCCAAAACGAGGAGTTGTGATAAAACCAATACTGAGCGATGGATTTAATGTTCGCGGACAGGTGGATTTAATTGATTTTCAATCTTGTCGCGATGGTGAGTTCAATTGGCTACTAAACTACCAAGATCACGCTACCAAGTTTTTGCACCTTCGACCCTTGAGATCCAAGCACGCAGCTAACGTTGCTGAAGAATTGTCGAAAATCTTCTTTACATGGGGAGCCCCGACTATTTTGCAGAGCGATAATGGTCGAGAATTCGTGGCTGCAGTAATACACGAACTTGTTTCCATCTGGCCTCACTGCAGGATTGTTCATGGGCGTCCGCGACACCCACAGAGCCAAGGTAGTGTCGAAAGGTCAAATGCGGACGTTGAAAACATGTTAAGAGCCTGGATGATCGATAATGATTCGATAAATTGGAGTCGTGGTTGCTACGAAGTACAAGTAATGGCTCTCACATATATAATTAAATTAATATTGTGTTCTTGAATACACACTTGAAAATTTACATACTTTAAATATTGATTTCAGTGGCAAAAGAATACATCGCGACATAGAGTCATAAACAGGAGCCCGTACGAAGCTCTACTTGGACCGATAAAAAGCGGCATAAGAAATACATCTTTGCCTGATGAAATTTTAAATTCGCTTCAGACAGAGGAAGACTTGGAGCAAGCTCTGGAGGAGCAGAATGTACAATTGAACGCGAGGTAATTGACTTAAAATAAATATAATAGAACTAGATAAATATAATATAATAGAACTCATATAGAGTGATTTGAACTTTAGTGTTGAGCAGTGCGAAGACGTAAGCAAGAGAAAAAGAATGCGAGAGGATGAAGAAGAGGAAAGAGAGGGACCACAGAAGAAGCGACAGGTAGACGACTCGAGCAGTATACTTTGCACAAAGTGCAAAATGGAAATGCATAGCGACCGCGGACAGATTGCTATCTGTTCATTGTGCGCTAGGGGCAAACAGCTACTTGACACTCGGTCAAATTGTTTCGAGCGTCAAACGACAGAGGCCGAAAAAATGGTTACCTGTTCGAGTATCACTTTTCCACCCCTTCAGATCAATGACACCATTACATTATCTGTTCCCACTGTTGACCGTGGGCCTCTCGATTTTAATAACATATTTGGCGTTGTAACTGATACCAAAAATGACGTATATCAAATTGGAACTAAGGATGGGATATTGAAAGGATGGTTCCCCCGTATTGAAATTGCAAAATCGGGCACTAATCTTATTACCATGGCTGACGTTCCAAAAAATGTTCTTCTTACTTTGAGGGAAGCTGCTGCAAAGCAGTCGGCAAGTGGTGGACAGGGATATAAAAAATGCAATTGCAAAATTGCTAAAAATCAGTGTCAGACAAATAGATGTGCATGTTTTAAAGCAAAAATTCTTTGCAATTCTCGTTGCCACAGTAGCGCATCTTGCATTAACAAATAGTAATGTAGTAATAATTGTGTAGTAAATAAATTGACAACATATCGAGCTCCAAAACAAGCATTTCTCTAATCGCCTACAGCGCGCCAGGCCGTTAGGCGAAAAGCCGACTTCTCGTCTAACAGGCTGAATTTTTCAGGCCATTAGACTATATCGTCCTCGATTAGCCTAACAGGCGGCATTTAGCTAAACGCCTAGGCTTTTAGCTAATTGGCTAATTTCGCTATCGGGCTACGACATATATATATATATATATATATATATATATATAGTATATAGTGTGCGAGTATATGTCGCTCATTAGGTTGATAAAAGTTATACGTTTCATCGTTGTTTTCGTTATAAATCACAAAATCAATTATTCATTCCTTAGTTGTATATATTCGCATTATATTTTCCTGTTGTTAGTTTGCTTAATGATTAAATTTTTATGAGAAGAAAAAAAAAAAAAGTTATACTTGCATCATACATAAATTGTGTTCTTTATCTTTAAAAGACATTTCTAATTAAGTTTAAAAAGAGCTCTTTTTAAAGAAAGTAATTTTTTTTATGATAAAAGGATTAAATTCCAATTGAGTTCATAAAGTTTCCTTAAACTAAGACTTCATTGTTCTTAGCATTATTTATTTAACGATTCATAAACGGAAATTATTCTTATTATTATAACAAAATAAGAAATAAAAGTTCTTTTTAGTGAAAGTTTTTTTTATTCTCTTATTATTATTATAAGAACGTATCTTTCAATCTTGTTAAATATTGTATAAATTATTAAAATATTAAAATTAATTAGACTCAACATCAAAATCTTTTTCCAGAATTGTTAAGTTTTTCATATGCATTTTACAAATCTATTAATTACTTACAAAATATATTTTTCAAATAAAAATCTGCATGTTTTATCTCCATCCTAAACTATCGCAAAAAATGGGAAAAAGCCATTATAAAAAATCTATTAAATGTCATACTTTTGATCATATTATCACAAAAGTAACATTAGTTGTTACTACAAAAAAATTGTTGCGAAAATAAGATAATATACTCTAGATTAGGTCGAAAATAAAATGCTCTAAGTTCGATAAAAATAAAATGCTCTACGTTGTATTAAAAATTAGATTTTCTTAAGTAGGTTTAAAAACTATACACGCACGTAACACACACGTGCGCGCGTACACACACACACACATACGCACACGCGCGCGCACGCTCACACACGCACACACACGCACGCAAAGACACACACACAAAGCTTAAAAAAATTTATATGGTATAAAGTAATGACAATGCTATTAAAAAGAATTAACATGAGTAACAATTAGCAATAATTTTAGTAGAGGTTTAAATTTGCACGCTTTTGTAAAATTTGGCGCCACACATACGTATATTTTTAACATGTATATACATTATATCTATATATATTCACAGTATATATACTTATAGTAGTGCAATTCGACATGTGTAAAGATAAACTGTACACGCACAAACAAAGTATATAATCAATTATCAGAGTATGCTCTTCTATTTTAATTTCTCTCTCTTCACGCTTTTTCTCAATTTTATGAAAATAATAATATAACATTAAATGTAAAAAGTGGCGGCAATAAATCACAAATGATTTGAGTTTAGTGAATAGTGTTAAATGAAAGCCAAGAACAAAGGATTAGAGATTTTTCTATATAAAGATGGTACACAATTTTTAATATTTTTTTTAGAAGCACTTTGATCATATTGTTAATTTTTACAGACCATTGTTCTCGAAATCATAAAAACAGAGAACAAAAGTCAGTCATTTATTATATATTCATTTTCAGAAATTATCTCAGGTGTAGTTTTTATAGAATTATGATTTAATGCGAAAAAAATTTTTATCTTAAAAATGTTTATTATTATATTAATTTTTACTTATAAAGTAAACATTTTTCTTTATGGAAATGTTTTACATTCTCAAAAGTAACGTTTCAAGTGTTTTCATCCTGTATAACATGTTCTGTTCTATGTCAGATGCCTCCCATATTTTATATACATATAATAAGTTAATAAGAGAGAACAAATTATGAAAGAGAGAGAATAAGTGAAACAGAAGAAAAGGGGTGACATGTAGCCATGCATGAAAAGTCACAAACTAATATGAGAAAAATCCCAGGTTCGAATCCGGTTCGAACCTAAACACCTCATATGCCTGCTGTTTGGAAAAAATATTGTAAGAGGAGGAATAGATTTGGAGAAAAAAGAAAGAAAGCAAAATTAATAAGTAAGGAAGAAAAAGAAAAAGTAGCAATAGGCAAGATGGAGAAAAGATTCAGTAAGAAGAGGAAAAGGTAAACAATAAGAAGAAGAAGAAGACGCAAGGAGAAAAAGAGATAGAGAGAAGAAAAGAAGCAAAAAGGATGGAAGAGATCAAAAATTGTAGGATTATAATTTATAAGATCTTCAAGATTAGGCTGTAAGAAAGTGAATAATGAGATTATTGTAAAAAGTACGGGTACGCTCTTTGTAAAAGCGCCATATAACTCCGAGGGGAATAAACATTCTAATCTATTCCACTTAATGAGGCAGAAGATCACTGTCATTATTACATATACTTCTTTCAACGAAAGAACATCGGATCGGATGAAGATTCGTCCGTTTCGGGTAGGTTTTCACTCATAGTCTGCTCTCTAAGATTTGAGTTTCGACTGAGTATGTCACACGTCATCCGTCGCGTCAACGAATTAACCAATCAATATACATTCCATTGTCAGCCATTTTATTATAATGGCTGACAATGGGATATTTGCGGAAATTTACCTAACTGCTGATTTAATTTAATTTAATTAACTTCTCAATGCTATGAATGACACTAGGCTCCCGAAGCATTGAAATGCCGGTATCCTCTTCCTTTTTTGCCCGTCTATGTGCAGACCGATGCTCTTTCTCTAGTTGAACGGAATATATACATACTTTGTTCGCGCATATGCAATCATTTTTGCCTACGCTAACATCAAAGGTGCCGACGAAGAGTTGTACTGCTGTATATATTATGACATTTGTATAAACACACTCGAAGTATACACACTCATACACAAAGGTGCAATATCTGACCATGCAACTTCTAGTATACATGCTAATGTCGATATATTTTGATATAATTTGATCAAAAGTATGACATATTTTCAAGACGGATTTAAAAAAATTTTCATATATACCCCAGTGAGAAATAATTGGTCGAATCGTCATCGATTCGACATCGATTCGACAACGAATCGACGTCGATTCGACCATCATTTCTCACTGGGACATGATAATATTAGAAATAGAAATTTCTATTTTAAAAACTATATAATGACACTCGAGTGTCATTAGATACAGATTTGTATTTTATCAAGAATGATTTCTTTAAAAAGAAAGATAATAGATTTTCAATGGATTCCTAATATATGTACATTTTGAACTTCCGACTTAAAATTCTTTTATCTGAAATATTTTTCGATATTATTGAGTTTTTACTAAAAATTTTTATATTAATCTTTCTATTATAGAAATACGACCATTTTTGTATGCCTTTTTATGATTGTAAAAATCGTATATCTCTATATATTATAATATTTTATCTCATTCTATAGAACGTTCTTTTGTAGTTGGAGAAGAAATCCCAGGAGCAATGCGAAATGCTTATTTCATGCGCGAAGATGTGTGTGTGTGTGTGTGTGTTTTGTACGCGTGCGCATAAACAGTTTCCTATTAGAAGAATTCAATAGATTATGTAAGCAATAAAAGAATAGTAAATATATAAAAAGTCTGTAAATATCGATTAGCCAGCCACGTACTTTTTCTTAAACAATTATATATGTTTTCTTTATACCACTGAATTTCTCTCATTATTTTGCATAAAAGTATTTAGGTAAGATTATCGAAAAATAAATATTTTACGAGATATTTGGTAATTCATGTAAGATTATGTCAAAGTAAAGCATAAAATATCTCGTAAATTATATACTTTTGATTATCCTATTCTCATAACTTTTTATGCTAAATACTACAAGGAATTAATTTATATTAAAAATAGAGAAGTTCCATTTAAGAAAACTATGTTGACTTTTAAATGACCTTTGAAAAACTCCATTCATAGGTAATTCTACGTCACAATATTATGTCTCCCTCGAAACCCTCGAATAACTTATTTTATATGGAACATTTTTCCAAAAACGTTTTATTTTTGAGATAATTGATAGTATCACTTAAAATGATTTCCTGTATGTATAAATAAATATATACATATATATATATATATATTTATGCAAAAATTTAAAAGACATTTTTTCCTGTTTTTAACCGTTTATCTTTAACGTTCGCCATTTCGTATAACATTTTTTACAATATAATTTTGATCTTTTATATTATTAAGAAAAATGTTCAAGTTTTAATTTAAGCGTCGATTCATCTCAATACAATGATTTTTTACAGGGTTATCGTAATTCAAAGATATCAAAACATTGTAATAGGTAGCTCATTTCTTGCAAGTGTGAGTATATACAATATATATATATATATAAAAAATTTTTAAATACATTTTTCCTATTTCTCAATATCTGGTTTTAATGTCCGCCATTTTGTATAACATTTTGTATAATTCAATCTTGATCTATTATGTTATTAAGAGAAATGTTCAAGTTTTAATTTAAGCGTTGATTCATTTGAATACGATCACTTATTTTTACTGAGGTATCGCAATTTAAAGATGTCAAAAATTGCGCTAGTTGGCCCATTTTTGCAAATAAATGTACATATACAGGGTGTCCGGTAACTCGCGCCCTACTCCTTAGTTGCAGGTAAAACAGGTTAAACGTAATAGAAAATCCTTTATCATTTTTCGAAATTCCCAATAATTAATGAGAAATTTATTGAAAAAGATCGGTCAATTCGCACGTCTTATACAAGCACGCGGCGAGATAAGACAGTCTTATACGGTTACCAAATACGCGGCAAGAAGAAACAGTATAATATTAGGCGTTGCTAAGCGCGAGGTATATACATATACATATACATATACAAGGTGTCCGATAATAGTCATGTCAACCGTCCTGTGCAGGTAGAGCACGTTAAACTGAATAGAAAAGTGTACCATTTTGCTAAATTCGCAAT